GATACCAGGCTCATAAAATGGCTCAGTGCCCAACAGTTAATCAGTGTTGTATTGGTTTTCACTGATCCATTCCAAAATCCATCTCAATATCATAACTCACATTCTTAACAATTTTCAACTGTAACTCATAGAACTATCTTAGATTTATCCTAGAAGTTCATATCCCAGGGAAGAACTGATGGTTTCTGTGAAGATCTGGCCCCGTGTCTTCCCTATATCTCCATATTCCAAGGACCACATCATTCCAAGGGGCTGACTTGACCTGGTTTCCTGCAAGTACAACTTTGCTTTTTGTCACAGTAGTACATGAGACTAGTTTAAAGGTGGTACTGATGGTACTGAAAATACTACAGTGGAAACTGTCTCATCCTGTAACCCAGACTCGCTTCTGAAAGTCAACCACTTTCATCCTTTTTAATTGTTGCTTCTAGCATTCATTTCAATATTTCTAAATCCTGTGCTTCTACTACTATTTATTGATGAATCAAACATGTCTTGGCTTCCTGCTATAGACGATGAGGATTCAGCTCTAACCCCTCCAGCAACCCCTGCTTGTTCACTTCTTCCTCACTCTCACTTTTCCCACAAGAGTCACATCACAGTCTGCTGCTCCCTTGCTCTGTCGTCTTCCCAAGTAGTTTTATCACAATTTTGTGTTAACTAGTCACTTTATACACTCTTATGACCATTGCTCACTTCTGATTCTAGTATTGTACCATGATTACATTTCTTTCCTTACACAGGTTTTACGTTGCTTCATACTGGAAGTTGCCTTTTTCATTTCCTTGACTTTTCATGCACCTATAATTGTTTTTTTTTATATACTCTCATATATCTGTCTAATGCCATATCTATTATGATATCCAAATCTAAAAAAGCTCTGTAAATGTTTAAGTTCCATTTTTTCCCAAGTCTACTGCCTCACTTCATCTGTGGCTCCTGTCTAGGGCTATTACTGTGTTGTCATATGGGCATATCACTTACCTCTCCTCTATGTTGTTCTTGCGTTGCACACTGAGTCTGATATTTTTTTCTTCCTTGATTTATTTCTTCATCTTTCTAAGGCACATTCTTCAGTAGTTTTCTAAGAAAGCGTGTGTGGAAAGTTAAATATTTTTAATTCCTGATGATCTGAATATGTGTTTATTCTGCCTTCATACTTGTTGGTAATTTGGCTGGGTATAAAATTCTAGGTTGGAAATTTTCTTCTTGCAGAATTTTGAAATTCCACGGTTTTTGAAGCTCCATGACCTTCTAGTTTCCAAGTTGCTATTGGGAAATCCAGTCTTCCTCTCTTCTGCTAAATTGCTTACCACACCTTCAGTTGCTATCTTCCAAATGTATGTATGTTGAACTTTCTTCTACTCTTGCCACTCCTCCCAGTAACTCTGTTATTTGGGCGTTTATACCATTTTTTTATTCTTGCTAATTTTAGTGGGGTTTTGGTATGAATAAGTGGGAAACTCATGTTGCCAGTCCACCATATTTACTCAAAATCCAGAGATATCTTTATTTTTCCAAGTGTGTAAACCCATGCCATCCCCTTTGCATATATTATGATGCTATTACTATTAGCAACCCTGAGAGTGGTTAGTACTATTCCCATTTGATGATGAGACAGCTGAAGCTCCAAGAATTTTAGTAGTTTTCTTAAGTTTAAAGAGCCCACATGAGACAGATTCAAATTTAAAATCATGTTTTTCCCACCCTACTGAGGCATAACGGTCACATTCAGTGATGCCTTTGTGATGGAGATCAGTGGTGATAAAACAAATTAGATTGTAGCTTCTCCATATCTTGCTACAGTAAACTAATGCCACTGCTGGGATGTAAATTATTCCTTTGAACTAGTCTCTGAGCCACAGAATACAAGCTTTCCTCTTCAATCACTTTTGTTATTCCATGGTAGAAATTGGAACACCTGAAACCAAATAATTGCAGGTGGTCTGACTCATACAGTGGAGTGTTTTAGAACAAGCAAGGAAAACTGAAATTATGGTGTTCAGGTCTGAAGGAAAATATACCTTAATATATAATGGCTCTATTTCAGAGTCCAGCACACAATGAAATAACTTTCCTCTTGGAAGCTTTTACTTACATTCTCACATAAGGCACAAAATAGCATTCTCTATTTGAAAACAAAAATTAAGTTACTGCCTTCAAAGTCCAGTCTTTTGAAGACATTGCAATTTTTCAGCTAAGTGGTTATTCTCAAAATGAAAAAGAGATTTTCCAACTAGTATTTATGAACAAGCACACATACCCAGGAATTTATGGTGTGTTTATATGTCACTTTGACTTTCTGTATTTATAACAGCAGACACACTTTGTGTTAAATGATGCCTTCGTGAAGGGAGTTTTCAGGTAATACCTCCTGAAGGGTTTCTAGGGCTTTGTCCAGTCAAGAGTTTTCCTGTTGCTTTTCTCAGCTGACTGTCAGGTTCTCATAGACCCTATTTTATCATCTCATTATCCTCAACTGCATCCCCATATAGGTTAAACAAGCCAAATAAAAGGAGGAAATGTTTGGGCCAAGCAGGGAAAGAGTGAAACTAAGCAGGACCTCCTCTGACCTGAGATAAGTCATTCTACTGCTTGGACCCTTAGGCTTCTCGTCTGTGAAATAAAATCATACACATACACCATTGTAAAGCAATTATACTCCAATAAAGATGTTAAAAAAATAATATAAAATAAAATAAAATCATACACATAGATGATCTCCAAGTCCTCTTTCAGCTCTTGAATGCCATTCCTACACCATCGATGAAATCAACTTCAATTAATTATCTAAATCAGTCACCACTGATTTCAGTATGTGTGTGACTGACTACAAAAGAATTCGTTCATTAATTTCTTTAATACGTATTTATTGGGCATCATACCCAGAGCTGGGTATACAGTGGCAAATGGACAGACTCAGTCCTTAGCCTCATTGAGTTCATAGTCCAGAGGAAAAGACAAAAACGAACTCTCAAATAAATAACAACTGTGATAAATCCTGTGAAAGATAACAACAGAGCACTGTGAAAAGACCAACAGGAAAAAAAGATAATTTAGAGGGGGGGAGGGGGAATGTTCCCAAGAAGGCCTCATTGAAGAAATGACAAGCAGCCCTAAGGATGAGGACAGTGAAACAAGTGAGGAGCTACAGACAAGCATTGCAGGCACACAGGGCAGCATGTGTAAAGACCCTGAGGGATTCAAGAGCTTGTGCATTTAAGGAACTTGAAGAAGGTCATGTGGCTAGACCCTGGTGAACAAGAGGGGTCGGCCTGAGACAAAGTTAGAAATGGGCTCCCACCAAATCATACAAAGTCTCGCCACCGTGGTGAGCATTTTGTGTAACATCAGAAAGGCAGGGAGAACCTACCGAGAGACCATTAAGTAGGAGGTTCCACACATAGTGGAGGAAGGCAAAAATGGATAAGGCAATTCAGTCAGGAATTGGTCCGGACAAGGCGTGGTGATGGTTTGGAGGAGGCAGTGGTGGAGAAGAGGGTGGATTTTATGTGTGTTGGGCTGTCCTCGCTTTGTGTCTGTGGTCAGCTATGATATATAGGGGAGACCTGTGACCTCATGTGTCACGGCATATGGACATATTAATTCCTACTGAGGGAAGCTCGTTGCCTTTCCAGCTGGTCTTCTTGGGCAGCATTCCACGTGATCCATGGAAAGTATTCACACATCCTTTTGCTGACAAGCTTTTAAGGTGCGGGCCTTGCCTATATGGCTGTTTCTCCTTGGTAGGCTGGCAGGACCACTGGTCACCCGTATCCCTCACCTACATGCTCCCATGGGTGTGGCCACAGCCATGTGTCCAAATCTCCTCAAAATCCCTCTCAGCAGGAGGAGACTGAGAAGAGAAGAAAGCACCTCCTTCTTCTCATTATGTAGAGAAGCATAGTTTTAGGGATAAAACTAATATTGTCTCAACAACTCTACAAAGAAATGCTCCCTCCAGCCTCCCACCTCCCTTCCACTTTTCCAATAGGCTTGATTTGCTTGGTCACCTAAGGGCTGTGAAATCCATTTTGGCGCCTCATTTTTAAGACCTGCTTGGAAGCCTGCCACCTCCTTTTCATAAGTCAGAGAAGATGGCACCTCTTGTCCTGTATCCTCTGTCCTGGACTCAGTGGAGACAGAAGACATCCCATTTTAACATCCTCTCTTCGCCTCCAGCCAGCCACTTTGTAAAACAACAAATGAGGTGCCCAGCACCACTCCTGTCTTCCTGAAGCTCCCACATCCCGCCCTCTGGTCTGTCCTCCCGATGCCTCTCCAGTGCTGCTGCCTTGGGCCTTGGTGCAGGCCAAGATTTTGGACACGGTGGCCAGGATGACTCTCTGCCTCCCCTCCCTCCTCTGCTTTCTTTCTTCTCACCTGTTATGGCATTGTGTCCCAGGACACTAAGTGACTCACTGCAGGGGTAGTTTCACTGCCCCCCACCTCCTCTTCCTTTTCCCCCAGGCAGGGGCTGGTGTCTGATTGAGCCCTCTATCCCCCACTTTAGACCATCATCAGCCCCACTTTCACACAGACCACGCTGTTCCCCCTTTATTGGTCATTTTCCAGAGAGTTTGCCCAATAGTTCAGACTGTGTGATGGGAATTCAGGTAAAAATGGGTAGAATTTCAGGACTTGGACTACTCAGCAAGATACACAGAAGAGCAGAAATGTGATCCATGTGAAGAGCAAAGAAAGTGGGATTTGCAAGCTTGAATTGAGTGAGCCATGGAGGCAGAGGAGGTTGAGATTGTCTGGAGGAATAAACAGGAAAGGGGTGGAAGGAAACCAGAGCTGATACTATGGGTAGAAAATATGGAAGAAGGTAAAAGAATCTACCATGATATTTTGTCCATTTTTAAATCTTCATATAAACATCACAGGAAAGACGAATTAGCTGGGTTATGGGAATGACCACTTTTTCAGTGATTTCATACAAGTCGCCAGGGAAGAGTAGGTTGTATCCTAACCAAAGCTCACCATATATCTGACAGGAACCAATGCTAAGCATGGACTGCGCTGCAAGGCCTGTAAGATGAGTGTCCACCACAAGTGCATGGACGGCCTGGCACCCCAGCGGTGCATGGGCAAGCTGGTAAGGGCTTGTGCCCGGAGTGTGCCCCGGAACCACTGCTCAGGGCACCTGCCTGCCCGATGAGATCACTCCATTCAAAATATTTCGCGGCAGCACCCTGAGAACTGGACACCGGGAAGGTACCCCCCACGTCTCTGGCTGGACAACTTGGCTTCCTAGTTGGCATAATGATTGAGGAAGGAGGAGCTTTGTCAACTTAGGAGATGCATGTTGCACGTGTGGAAAGGGCTCAGTGTCCTTCATAGAGTGGCCAACTTGTCCTGGGTCGGCACTTTCCCAATTTTAGCATTGGGACTGTCCAAGTTTTGCAAGTAGAAAGCAGGCATCCCAGGAACCCCCTCGGCCCCAGCTTAATTGTCTGACAGCTCAGTGCGTATCAAGAATGGGATAGAGATGAACCACCCCACAGAAGTGGAGAGAGTAGTAAACATCTATACCACTGTAACAGATCATGGTGGCCAAACCAAGGGCTGGGGGCTCAGCCTGGCCCATTCTGGGCTGATTGTCGCATCTCAGGGGTGGACTTCAGTACTGGTGCCACACAATGATAAAAAAGCCACCCAGAACACTTTTGAGAATAGTTGAAACTAAGATGGCCAAAGAATTATAGAAGGGACCAAGAATGTCTACCCTAGACATACTTGGGGCATGACAGCTGTCTTCAGAAGAATTTAAGATCTGTCACACAGAATTCTGTCATCCTCTGTGGCTTCAGGGAAAAGGCCTAGGATCAGTAGGTTCCAAGTCTTAACCATCAGATATGATGTCACCAAAGACCTGCCTCCAGGATTAGTGAGAGTTCCTGCTATCCACATCCCCAGCAGTGTTCACAGGAGCATACCACTTGCTAGGAACATTGGAAGGGATTCTGGAATTCTAGTAGGGGTGGGACCCTTCAGTTCCCTTCTAACACTGGGGTACAGTAAGTCAGGATTCTTAGAGAGTTCATCTCCGTACTCTGATTGGCAGTGTCCTCTTCTCCAAAACCCCTGCCTCACGTGCTCCCCTCCTGTCCTCCCATGGTGATTCCCACAAGCCGAGGCAGAAACCATGAATGAGAGGTCAGAAAAGCAGAATGGAATCTAGAACACAAAGCTCTGCGTAGAGCTCATCAGACATACAAGGGACTTCAGGTCTACCTGTGAGGTCTGCTTGCCCATGCCCAGGCCTTTTAGTGATGTTAATAAATCACGTGGTGAAATAACACAGAATGGTTCGTTTGTATCCTGGGAAGTAATGAGGAGCCCAACATAAAGGAGGCTGCAATGTGCACCTGCAGAGGAGAAGTGGGACGGGGGAGGGCAGGGCTGGGGGCTTGCTTTCTGGAGGGAGTGGAGCTTGCTTATTGACACCTCTACCTCCCAACCCAACCCCAGGGATAAATTACAGGACATGTCAGCATCTTAAAGGGAGACAGGGAGGCACCCCTAGAGGAACCAACTGGTTTCATTTTTAGAGCTCTCGTGGGGTTTTCTTCATCTCATCAATAACTTTGAGCCCTTCTCTTTCTCATTCTGTCTCCAGCCAAAGGGGTTTCGGCGTTACTACAGCTCCCCCTTGCTCATTCATGAACAGTTTGGATGCATTAAAGAAGTTATGCCCATTGGTGAGTTGGGGCCCGGTGGGCTGAGCTGGGTTTGGAGCAGCAACGTCAGAGCTGATGGCTGCTCTTCTCCCAGGTCCCGGTGCTGCCATACCAGTGGGGGACCGGGGGGGTGGCATTCGTTTGGTGGCTAATTGGGTTATGGTTGTTTGTTTTGCTGGAGGGGAAACTTAAGGTGAACCAAATTCTCCAGAAATTTTTGTCCTCTCCCTGATGAAGCTTCAAAGAACCCATGTCCAAAGGCCATCAGCAGCATGGCAGAGTGGAAGGAGCATGGAGCCTGGCATCCCATAGACCTGGGTCACAGCCCAGCTCCTCCATTGACCAACTGTGTGTCTAAACAAGCTACTCAACCTGCTGGACCCTATACGATGAAAACAGCAATGGCTGCTTTTCATAATTTTTTGTAGAAAATAGATATACATTATAGACCAATGCTTGGAAGGAGCTTACTGAATATTGTTTATTCTTTAATGAGGAAAAGATGTCTTATATTTTTAGGTATTTCTGGCTTGAATATATTCCTCAACAATATCCTTCAGTTCCATGTCTTCTCCCTTTCTGAAAATCTCTACATTTATGTTTGCCCTTTGGTGGTGGCAGGGGGAGCAACTTTTAAACTAGAAATTTACAAACTGGAAAGTTTTTAATTAGAAATCCCAGGAAGCCTGGTAATGTCCAAGTCTTTCAAAAAGGTTGCCTCCTACTGCAAACTTTGTGTCACGAGACTTCGTACCCTGGTGAGCAGGGCCTTTCACTAGAGGAAATAAAGCTGGGAAGTAGAACCTTGGCACTGGAGTCCAGCGGGTGGATAACAAAGAGGAAAACCAGTCAATCAGCAAAGCTTTGGGAGCAGAGTGGGCTGAGTGCAGTGGAGGGACCTGGGAAATGGGCACAGGTCGTGGGGGGAGCATGCGAGGAAAGTTGACCACAAAAGCTCCATTTCCCCAGGGGTAAGAGGGTCTGTTGTGCAGGACCTACTTTTCGATGCCGTTAACCCAGGAGGTATGATAGGTGGTTGTCTGTCCCGACTGTGATATGAGGAAACCCTTCTCTCACGTGAGCTTTCTTTTCTGCTGCAGCCTGCGGCAATAAGGTGGACCCTGTCTATGAGACCCTCCGCTTCGGTACCTCCCTGGCCCAGAGAACAAAGAAGGGCAGCTCCGGCAGCGGCTCCAGTTCACCTCACGGAACCTCGGTAATTGTCCTCTTCCTCCCTTGGGCAGTGTGGAGTGCGGGTCCCACCTAAATGCATCAGGCGGGGGGAGTCTCTTGGGGGTCAGGCAGCCTTTAAAGGGAGCTCCAAGTGCCTTTGGGCCACTAAAGGTTAACCTTCTGGGGCCAACCCCCAGAGATCCTTTTACTTTCCTCCTAAAGACCACGCTCCTGGCCTCAGGCTCATTGACTCTCTCTCCCTCCCCCTCCCACCACTAGTAGCTTATCCGCTAACACATAGAAAGGTTCGACCCAAACAAGGGGCAGAAGCAGAGAAGTCCCAGCTGTGTCCAGTTCTCCTTCCAGCTACATCCCAGTTCAAGAATACAGCCATTTCTCACATCTTCTCAGTCCTCTCTCTCTAAGGCAAGATGCACCCTTTGATTTCTTTCACACAAACACTGCCTTCCCCGGAAGACGGGAGTGGCGTGGAGGCGGGGCGCTTCCCTCCATGGGACACACACCCTCCCAAGCACCTCTCTCCTATGTTTTACCTGATCTAAAATGAGTGTTGTGTGCGTCTCTGTGACCTGTGTCGTCATCCTCTCTCTGACTGTCCCAACCAAAATTTCTATGGATGCCCCAAGATGCCACACAACTCTGTAGCAGAGAGAAGGCTCCCCAGAGATGGGCCTGACCTGCCCGCATGAGCAGCAATGTCTGCTGCTGCGGTTCTGAGCTCTTGCTCATCACAGCAAGGAGACATCCTGAGAAACACTCCGCGGGAGACAGTGAACCTTTTCGCCTCCACGTTTGTGACTGATGCTATGAGCAGAAAGACCATCACAGGCATAAATAAGGGATGTCCATTCCGCTTTCGTGTCTAAAACAGCTTTATTTCTGGCAATATCTCGACCCTACAGACTGGTTTTAGGGGCAAAAAGCATAGTTTGTTCAATGTCAATAACATGTTCGTTCATCATAGCCCACTTATACTTCCTGGCGCTGGTTCCATCAGTAAATATTTCTTGAAATTTTGCTCTGTGAAGGCTTTGTTCTGAGAGCTGCAGGGAGACGATGAGAGCTGCAGGGAGACAAAGACAAATGAAATTGTACTTAAATATCTGTCACTTCACTCCTTCCCCAGAGTCCAAATTGCCTCAGTGGAAGCAAACAGAAACAATTGATTGCTACTTTAACATGACTCTGCTTCCTTCCTGCAGAGTCGGTAGTAATGAACTTCAGCGTCTTGCCATCCTGGCAGTATTGTTATATCCTAAAGCGAACATATTCCCACATAGCAAAGGTTTATTTTCTTCCAGGGCTGTAGAGGCATTTGCTTTACATTGTTGGGAAGTTGCTGCCTGGCTGTTTCTAAATCGTTAGGTTTCCTCTCATGTGCTTTCAAATGTTCTAGAATACAGAAGGCTTGATGGCTTTGGGAAGATCAGGAGAAACCACATTCGAAAACTTTCTAGGAGTTGGTTAGCTAGTTTAGGAATGATCTTCAGTTTTGTAAGATTATATTAACATAATAATAGCAACTTCTATTCAGAAATAGTGAGCTTCAGAGGAACAGGGTACAAGTGACTTAGAGACCCTGTGACATTTTTTTTTTCTTCTTTCTGATGTGTCATGAAAGGAAGAATGGCTGAAATAAATCTTAAAGTTAAATTGTAAGAAGAAATCAGTCTCAGGAAGGTGGTACTAAAGTGCTCTAGAGCTGATGGGGAGAGTTAGGAAGGCAAACTTGTTCCTCTCTAGTAAGATATAAATAAATTGTTTTACAAATATGACTCTCCTGTGAGGTCCCCTAAACTCCTCTTTTAAAGAGGTGAGAGATGCACAGATAGAAGTAGAGCATCTGACCCTTTGAAAGAGGCCATCTGTGGTGTAAATGTTTAATGACCAACGAGGGCTGGACCCTGATTTGTAGCATTTGCCAATTTCCATGGTGTAAATACTCCCACTGTGGCCAATTTCAAGCTACCAGTGTGATGACCCTAAAGGCTCTCACCAGCCCACGTGAGCTAGTCCAGCTATACTGCTGGGTGAAGCACAGTGCTTAAGAGATGAACCTAGAGAATGTTATGCTCAGTGAAATAAGTCAGACAGAGAAAGACAAGTACTGTCTGATATCACTTATATGTGGAATCTAAAATATAATACAAATGATGGATATGCAGAACAGAAACAGACTCACAGATGTAGAAAACAAATTTATGGTTCCAAAAGGGGAAAGGGAAGGGGAGAGGGACAAATTAGGCATATGGGATCAACAGATACAAACTACTATACATAAAATAGATAAGCTGTAAGGATTTACTGTATAGCACAGAGAATTATAGCCATTATCTTGAAATAAGTTTAATGGAGTATAATCTGCAAAGTACTGAATTATTATGCTGTGCATCTGAAATTAACATAATATTGTAAATCAACTATACTTTAAAAAAAAAAAAGAGCATGGGCTCTGGAGACAACACCAGGGGTTCAAACCCCAGCTCCACCACTTACGAGCTCTGAGACCTCAAGTTGAGTTCTTGATTGTCTCTGGGCTTCAGATTCCTATCTGAAAAATAGGCCTATCAGAGGATTACTGTGAAGCATAAATGAGATGATTCATATAAAGTATGTAAAAACAGCACGTGCTAGATGATTGGTAACAATTAGCTATTTAGAGTGCTGCTTTATTATTGTTGTTGTTATTTCTGTAACCTAAATTCTAACTATGACCTCTCTTATACACAAGAAAGGGCAGAATTTGTTATTACAAAAGCAATTACTTTTCGCAGCAATGGAAATGGCATTGAACTCACACCTAAGTCATGCACCCCTCAGTAGTGCATCTTGTTCTCTATAATTAATATTTAACACTCACCTAGAAAGAGCTGTAGTTCTACTGACCATTTTAAGTGACAGGATGTGAGCAGGAATTCTGATTTCTCTCTGTCTCTTCCTGGGAAGTAGCCTAACTGTGGCCTGTGCATATAGGCACTCGTTCACCTGTCATGTGCCAACCCCAGAGCCTGCTCTGGACACTGGGAGGGAGGGACAGTGCCCGAAAGAGAGCACACAGCCTCTCTGAAGTTAACCAAACAGACAGAAGAGCAATGATGCGATTCTTAAGACAGTGTCATGTAAATTCCACCTTCGCTCTTCTACTGGTATCACAATCTCTGCTCAGTCGGCCCCTGAAATGACATTGCTCATTCCACTCTGTTCCCTCTTTTCAAGATTTCAGATCTTGTTGAGGTTCCTGAAGAGGCTGACGGGCCAGCAGGCGTGTACGGCCTACGGAAACGTAGCAACAGCGGTAAGTGAGGGGTGTGGGGATCTAGCACCGCCCAGCACAAACGGGAATCACATCCGTCGTCCAGGTCAGCAGGCAGGCACACCTGACTTCCAGGCCCCTCTCTCTGCCAGCTCTGGAATTCAATCCGGGCAAGTGTTTGATATTCTGGAGGGAAACCGGGCATAATCACTGGTGGATTTCAGTGATTTGACTATAACATTCCCTAAGTTCTGTCTTTTGAGTTCTCATGCCGTAAGGACATAGAGGTCCTTCCAGGCCTTTCTGTTAACACGTCACTTCCCCCACTGACCTATACTGGATAACAAAGCATCCCAGAGAGAACCACTCCATGCTACACCGGAAGTACTCCAGGTGAGGGGTGGTGCCGGGGAGTGTGGGCCTCACCTGGGCTCCTTCCCAGCAGAGATAACTAAGACTCAAAGACTGATCTGCACAGTCTAGCCAGACATTCTTTATTAATATCGTTTAGCTTGCTAATAGCATAAGCCCTTCTTATAATAATTTCTAGAATACTTATTAGATGCTAACTACATGCTATTGCTTGCTAACATTGAGAAAGAACCTCCTCTTAAACCAGAACTTAAAGAAACATAACCAGCACCTTATGCCTGAATCTCGATGAGCCTCTTGATGTCAACAGCTACTTAATTTCCACTCATTTATCCAAAAACTATTTATGAAGTATTTACTACCAGCAGCAAAACTACATAGGTCACAAAGCTGTCCTCAGGTCACTCATAACCCAGCATGGTTGCAGGTCCTGACCTGCGTTGTTACCTTGGGCTGAATGCATTCTCCTGACAGAAGTTATCCCTTGAAGCTCTAATACCCGCAGGTGAAGCACCACCTTGGACAGATTTTCCACTTGACTAAATGTCCCTACCATTTCCAGACTGGAAGCAGGACTTCTACATCAAATACCCCATAGCTGCTTTGTCAGCTGCTGTCTTACAAGGTGTCACTTCACTTCCTTAGCTCTAGGAATCCATTCATTCTCTTCTCTAGTTAGGATGGGGCCTCTGCGATTCCCTCAGGCAGTGCCCCATGACCCTCCTTTCTAAATAAGCATCAGCGTCCATTAGGACCCCCTTTGCCAAGCCCACCCACAGCTGCTAAAGCACACTGCTAGGGTAAGAAGTCTTTGGCATCAAATGGGGAAAACACTACTTTCAGATGAGTGCAGACATCCGTCAGGCACTTAGCAGTGCCATTAGAAAGACAAATCAGAGAGTGTCAGCTGCCAGAGGACCTTGTGGCAGAGCAGTAACCCTGCAGGACCTCCCAGCCCACTTCTGTCCAGCATTGCAGATCCAGCAACTGAATTTGGTGAGCAGCCCTGGAGTTTGTCAGTATCTTAGGACCAAACTCACCAGAGGCTGGAATGTAAGCCAGAGCTGCATTTCAGTGCTGCAAGTCTGTCAGCTGTTCTGTCCCCTGAGTCTGAGTTCTGCCTGCCTTCTTCCCCTGACGCTTCTCACCAAATCGCAGGGGGCATCCTCATCATTAATCGCACTGGACGTATTTGGTCCTTGGCCCCTCCTTGTTGTGGAGGTAGATGCTGGACTTCACTTAGTGATCATGTGGTCTTCAAGAGATCTAGCCTCTCTCTGCTTCAGTCACCTCACCTCTAAAATGAGGATACTAATAACACAAATCCATAGGGTGTTGTGATCTTTAAATGAGATAACAAAGGTAAATACTATCTGTACACTGATGACTCTAAAACTTCATTCCTAGCATTAGGCCTCTTTGCTGCCTCTGGATGCCTGTAGCCTACTGGAAACGGCCATCTGAATGGAGAACAGGCATCTTCAAGTTAACACACCCAAATGGACTCTTGATTCCCTCACTCACCCCCCACCCCCGCCTACCGAAACCAGCTCTTCCTCAGTTGCTCCTGCTCTGTTGTAGGAACGCCATTTTACTAGATGATCAGGCCAAGACTTTTGGCATCAGCCTTGACACCCTTCTTCTCACACCTCTTATCCAGTCTGTTCGCAGATCTTATCTGCTGCTCTTCAAAATCACACCCAGCATGGGCCCACATCTTCCCTCTCTGCCTCCACCACCCTGGTCCAGATTTACGGATGCTGTCGCCCATTCCTCAGTAGCTGAGGTCTCTTTTTGCCCTGGGGATTTCTTCACTCAAAAATGGTCTTCTGGGCTTCCCTGGTGGCACAGTGGTTGAGAGTCCACCTGCCGATGCAGAGGACACAGGTTCGTGCCCCAGTCCGGGAAGATCCCACATGCCGTGGAGCCGCTGGGCCCGTGAGCCATGGCCGCTGAGCCTGCGCGTCCGGAACCTGTGCTCTGCAACGGGAGAGGCCACAGCAGTGAGAGGCCCGCGTACCGCAAAAAAAAAAAAAAAAAAAAAAAATGGTCTTCTTAGGGTTTTATTATGTGAACAGCTGTATTTAGGGATCATCAATATGAAGCACCATTGCTATTAATGAAGTCATCGTCAGGTCATGAAGTGTCAGAGATGCAGCCTAGAGCCTCACTAATCCACATGTGGCCCGTGGACCAGCGGTCTGGGCAGAACTTGAGAGCCCATTAGAAATGCAGAATCTCAGGCTGCCCCAGACCTGAAAAATCAGAATTTCCATATGGACCTGTGATTCATATTCTTGTTAACGTTTGAGAAGCCGGATTAGAGGCCATTTAGTCTAACCCCTCTCCTCCAATATACACACACAAACAGGGACACACAGACATATACACACAACAAATACTGGATAGATAAGGAAATTGAGACGTGGAGTAATACACTCAAGGACACAAAGTTGATGATTTGCTGTCTCTTTCATGTTAAGGGGCATTTTCACAGTCTTATTCAAAGCAATCTGTTGAAAGAACTTAGTAAGGGATAAACCTCTAAAAAGCTTTGGAGATCTATTAACTATTCCTTTGATCAGCAGTAGCTTTCTTCATGTGCACTCTTAGAAGCAAGAGGGATTAATTATGCATCAGTTTGCTTCAAAACGTGTTCCTTTGATTTGGATTTAATGCTCTGTCCATGTAGTTTGAGAAACAACATAGAGAAAACACCCTGCTTATCTATAGTCCAAGCTCCCACTCGTCGTCTCACATTCTTGGCAAGGAGAGCCTCCGGTTCTGCTTTACCTGTTTCATGTATGTTCTAAAATGTACATAGGGCACACAGGTATTATTTCTGCCAGCCAGATGTTATGTCAAAATCCTTGAGAAATATTTCCAAGGCCACCTCAGAAGAAGGTACAATTCATACTCATGTCTTTAGTGCTAAGAGTGCAGTCTCTGCTTTCTCCCTTATATTATAAAAGCTCTTGGGCACGTCTGAGTGTTTCTGGTGGTTGTTTTCAACCCTATTCCTGGGTGCATCAGAAATATACATGGGCAAATTTGTTGGTCTTCACCTTTGGCTTAACTGCCAGAAACTCCACTGGAAGCAAGGTCATGAGCAGAGAGAGAATCATCTATCTAATACATAGCCTCAAAATGACAAAAACTCAAGGAGAAATTGACAGAACTATTAGGAAATTGGCATCGCGCTTCATAATGAGAGTTTTTAACACTCCTCTCAGTCACTGGCAAATCAGATAAACAAAAAGATTCAGTACAGACATGGAGGATCTGAGGACGCACTTGACAATCCAAATCTAACTGACTTTAAAAGGATGCTCCAAAAGAATATATAACTGAATCACTTGGCTGTACACCTGAAACTAACACAATATTGTAAACCAACTATACTTCAATTAAAAAATAAGATAATATAAAATTAAAAGGACACTCCATCTAACAAATTGGAAATTCACATTCTTCTTAAGAATGTATGGAACTATTATAAAAATTGCTGACACTTCCCTGACAGTCCAGTGGTTAAGACTCCGCACTTCCACTGCAGGGGGCATGGGTTCAATCCCTGGTCAGGGAACTAAGATCCTGTATGTCACACAATGCAACAAAAAAATAAATAAAAATTGCTCACCTACTGGACCATACTGCAAGTTTCACACATTTCACAGAATTAATATGATACAGAACACATCTTTCTGACTACAATGCAAACAAGATAGAAATCAATATTCAAAATATAACTAGGAAAACCCATACTTTAGGAAATTAAAAACATATTTTTAAAAAGCTCATATGTCAAAAAAAGAAGTCATAATGAAAATTGAAATATATTTAAAACTGAATAATAATGAAAACACTACCTATCACAACTTGTGGGATGAAGCAAAAATTGTGCCTTAGAGTATTTAGCGCTAAAATTATTCCACTAAAAAATAAAAGCTGAAAAGTAATAATCTAAGCATCATATACAAGAAGTCAGAAAAAGAAATAGAACAAACCCAAAGAATGCAGAAGGAAGTCATTAATAAAGACAAGAAGAAATTATTAAATGACACAGGTAGGTCAATAAATTCTAAGAACAGTTCTTTAAAAAAAATAATAATTTTTTAAGAATAAGAGAGAGAGAGAGATGAAGCAAAAAGTAATTAAAAAGGAGGAATGTAACAGAGGTTGACAAGAAAGAATCTTATGATGAACTTCATACCAATACATTTAAAACTTTTTAAATGGACAGATGCCAAGAAACTTATCAATGACCGAAGTCTGACTCAAGAGGAAACAGAAATACGTAGAGAACTTGACTTTGCTTCCAGTTATGGTGGAAACACTCAATATTTTAAGATTTTGCACAACAAAAATACCAGGCCCAGACAACTTTATCCCAGACAACTTTATAAATAAATTCTACCAAACATTTTTTTTAATAAATTTATTTATTTATTTATATCTGGCTGCTTTGGGTCTTCGTTGCTGCGCACAGGCTTTCTCTAGTTGCGGCGAGCTGGGGCTACTCTTCGTTGCGTTGCACAGGCTTCTCATTGTGGTGGCTTCTCTTGTTGCAGAGCACAGGCTCTAGGCACACGGGCGTTAGTAGTTCTGGCACGTGGGCTCAGTACTTGTGGCTCACTGGCTCTAGAGCGCAGGCTCAGTAGTTGTGGTGCACGGGCTTAGCGAGCCACAACTACTGAAGACCGCACACCTAGAGCCGGTGCTCGGCAACAAAGAGAAGCCACCGCAATGAGAAACCCGCACACGGTGACGAAGAGTAGCACCCGCTCGCCGCAACTAGAAAAAACCCACACGCAGCAATGAAGACCCAATGCAGACAAAAATAAACAAATAAATTATTTTTAAAAAAACATTTGAGGAAGGTAAAATTTTCAGATTACATAAGCTCTTTCAGGACAACAGGAGGTGCACAGGAGGACGGGCAGCAGCATTCTCTAACTTAATTTATGGGACTGGTATAATACTGACCTCAAAATCAAAGGAAGACAGCATGAGACAAAATCGCTGGCTAGTCCCCCTCGTGAATATGGATGCAGAAATCTGAAATAAGATCATCTTAGTGCACTGAATCCAATAATGCATTTTAGAAAAGCAGTGCATAATTACCAAGTTGAACTTATTCTGGGGATGCAAATGTGAGTCAATGTCAAATAAGCTGATAATGTAACTTGTACATGACCAGGTTAAAGAAGAAAAACCAAATCATCATCTTGAGGCAGACATGGGCCTCCCAGGACTGCAAAGTAAAAAATAAAGACAGAATATAGAAAAGGGAAAGAGGAAAGCTCTTTGGGGACTAGCAAAAACTAAAGATTCATTTTGCATCTGTAACATTAGAAAATATGCCTGTGTAATGGACATAGATTTTGAGTTGTCCATGGGTGAAATCAACAGCCAAATAGATTTTGAGTTTGTCCATGGGTGAAATCAACAGCCAAATTATTTTTAATGAAATGAATTAAAAGTACCAAACATAAAAGGTGTCTGATACATTTTTTTGGTAAAATAGTTACCTTTCTTTATGCCTTTCCCCTCAAATCAAAGTCTTAGAAATAGCCAGAAGGAATGGTTTTTTTAAAAAACTCATTTTTTTTGGCAGTGTTCCAGTTCTGTTTGCAACCATATAGCTGAAAACACATTGGGAGTCACTTCAAATAATTTTCAGCATAGTTCACAAAATGATACACATTTTTGTGATGGCTAATGGATAGTCAATGAAAAGCTAAAATAATATGAAATTACAAAATTATAAGATCAGTCAAACTGAATATTGCATATGTACCTTATGTCATCCCCCTTTTAGATCAATCAAGAATTTTCTAAGATGCTCTTCCCATGTTTCCATTCAAACATTCAGTATTCTTTAAATGTATCCAGTTTTATACTTATGGAATCAAGTTATGCCAAGATTTCAGGTAATCACTTAAAACCAGAGAAGAGTGTTGCTCGTCTCTACTCTTAAAACCGGGAAGTTGTGTAGCCAAATGTTGAGGCAGACAAGGCCCTTCATTTTCCATTTTCCTACAAAGCTAAGCGCCTCCGGTGACTGCATATTGGCTTCCTAGGGATAATGGAATTGCACCCACAGGCTCTGGAACTATAAACCATGGGCAACAGATGTTTGCTAAGCATCAGTACATTTACAGGGGCTCTTGTTCTGAAGTGTGTTTTCTACATCACAGTTATTGAGTTCATTTTAAGGACAGTGGAGATTGTCGATGCACTAAATGAAAGAGGATACAGAGCTTTCCGTGGTGTGTTTCTCTTCCTCTGCTGGTATCCTTGATCCTCTGAAGGAGGACCAAAGGGAAGACTAATGTGTTTTTTTGTTGTTGTTTTTTTGCGGTACGCGGGCCTCTCACTGTTGTGGCCTTTCCCGTTGCGGAGCACAGGCTCCAGACGCGCAGGCTCAGCGGCCATGGCTCACTGGCCTAGCCCCTCCGTAGCATGTGGGATCTTCCCAGACCGGGGCATGAACCCGTGTCCCCTGCATCGGCAGGCGGACTCTCAACCACTGCGCCACCAGGGAAGCCCTAATGTGTTATTTTTGAATGTCAAGTCATCTAAAATGTAGATTAATTTCAACACTACAACCCTATTGTATAGACTCGGGAACACTTGCTACCTTTTATTTTTATTTAAGGAAGATACATGATGTTGGTCTCTGAGATAATTGTGACTGATTGAACTAGCTAAGGCAGAGCCCCCCATACCCATCAGGGACCTCCCACAGCTGTGTGTGTGGACAGTGAAAACTCCTGCCCGTTGTAAGAAGCCTTTTTCTTCAGCGAAGGCCACAGAGTGGCTGCTTAAATGCAAAAGGCAGAGAATTATGTATTCTAAGAACAAACTAAATGAGAAACCACTATTTAATTTTCTTTCTCAACAGCAGCCCCAATGCATTGACAATAAGAGATTGAGAAAGTATTTTGAAGTTTAAAACTAAAGCTTTACTCTGCAAATGGAATGTAGAAATCATTAGGAAACTAGAGTCAAGATATTGAATAGAGATCAAAGAATCTGATACTTGAAAAACTGAATTCAAATGCAATTAATTTGGGCCATACCTCACCTACCGTCCCCTTAACAAATGATTTGATACATTTAACAAAGATTAATAAGATGGTTTCTGCTCCTGAGAAGAGCTCTGCCAAATGAGACCAAGCAATTCAGGAGGATGCGTGCTGGCCTGGAGGCCTGTATGAAGGTGTGGGCCTGCAGAGAGGGTGGTGCAGGATGCTCAAGGGAGACAGGGGGAGCATCACGTGGAAGATGACACGAGAGCTGGGTCACTGAGGATGAGGAAAAGGTGGGGAGAGGTCAAGTCGAAGGTATGGTGCTGGGAATAAATAAATAAAGCTACATCTTTCAAGCATGTTTCCAAAACATGGTGACTGGATTAATAAAGCTCCTGCTTTTTCTTGTCTCCTTCAGTGTTCACGTATCCAGAAAATGGCACTGACGATTTCAGAGACCAAGCAAAGAACATAAACCACCAGGTATTCATGGATGTCTTGGAAAACAGACCAGACAGTGTCCTTAGATCATTCTGTAGGTCACCACCCAAGTGGGTCATGAAATGGATTTAGGGGGGCCCAGACCAGCATTTTTAGAGAATAATGTAGCATAAGGTACATAGCGTAGACAGCATTGAGCAAAACAAATACTACAGTGCATCCAGGGTACAAAGGATAAGCACTATACTGTATGCTTTTGTTTCTGTTATGTATGTCACATACAAGTTGATATATGCTCTACAGTGTGTTAATTATATAATTATGTAATATATTATGACTATTTTAAAGTACATAAGTATATATTTATTACATTTTATGGTAATTTACATATGCAATTAGAACAGAATAATATTTCATAAAGTACTTGAGCTTTGGATAGCAGAGTGAATCACAAACAAAAAGAATGTAGTTGTGTACAACTTGTGTTTATGTTTTCTATATATGGCCTATATTTATTATATTATGCATTTAAATATATTATACAATTATGGATTACATATATAGTGTATACATATACAACATATAATATGTTACATATTATATAATTTTAAATTATGTATGTTATAAAGCATAAACATTTATATAGGATTAACATTTATGTAGTTAATAATAATAGCTAATGTTTACACAATACCTGTAAGACTCTTGTATAGTGTACAAATCGGGGACACAATGGAATCGACCTCACAGGGCTGTTGTGAGGTTTGAGTATGCTAATCCATGTACCATAATACCTGGCACACAGTAAGCCATCAAAAATGGTAGCTTTTATCATCTTTACTGCAAAGTTTCATAGCCAGTAGATGGTGATACCATAACATAAATTAAATCAGTCTAATGCCCAAATCTGTAATTTTTCCACAACATGAATGAACGAATTTCTGGATGAATATACCCAGATCCCTTTGATATGCTAGATACAGAATTGTAGGCTAACTGAAAAAAGTCTATTTTAGGAAATGGAAGTTGTTTACTACTATTCACATGTCTCCTGTCTATAGAGGGAATATTCTCTTGCCTGGACCCACCTTTCATGAACAACTATATCAAAGAAAAAAATTGATTTGAAGAAAATTGCAGTATTTCTGACAAAGAACTCTACATAAATGTTTTCAAATAGTTTGTGGTGAAATCAAACTCAGCCAGGAAATTAAAAATAAATCTATGTTTGGAACAAAGTATTTAATAACATTTAGGTATTTTAGCACTTAAGATCCATACACTGGAATTACATTTAACTTCTCCATTTCCTATTTTCTTTCTTCTCTCTATTTCTTCCTCCTTCCTTCTCTCACTTCTCTTTCATTTTCTCTTTCAGGGACCTCTTTCCAAAGACCAATTACAGATGAACACCTATGTTGCCTTGTACAAATTTATACCACAAGAGAATGAAGATCTGGAAATGAGGTAAAAATATTTTTAAAGGAAAAAAAGAATGAAAGAAAAATTTTAAGTCAGTATCGTTCCATATGAAAATATATAATTCAATCTGCGCTCCCTCCAAGTGTCTTAGAGCAACGATTGTCAAATGTTAGTGTGCAGGGCTGGTTAACACAGATCGCTGGACCTTATCCCGGGAGTTTGTGACTCAGCACGTCTGGGGTGGGGCTTGAGAATCTGTATTTCTAGCTGGTCTGCAAGTGGTGCTGATGCTGCTGGTCCAGGGACCACGCTTTAAGAAGTGCGGTTAGGGCTTCCCTGGTTGTGCAGTGGTTAAGAATCCGCCTGCCAATGCAGGGGACACGGGTTCGAGCCCTGGTCCAGGAAGATCCCACATGCCGCGGAGCAACTAAGCCCGTGCGCCACAACTACCGAGCCTGCGCTCTAGAGCCCACAAGCCACAGCTACTGAAGCCCGTGTGCCTATAGCCGTGCTCCGCAACAAGAGAAGCCACTGCAATGAGAAGCCCGTGCACCACAACAGAGAGTAGCCCCTGCTCGCTGCAACTAGAGAAAGCCCGCGCGCAGCAACAAAGACCCAACGCAGCCAAAAATAAATAAATAAAATTAATTAATTAATTAATTAATTTAAAAAGCAGTTAGCACATCGTCACCAGAGCTGCTGCTGGGAGTTCTCATGAAGCTTGAGCAACAGATGCACTTGGCATCCTGTGGGGTCCAACAGGGAACCAAAAATGTGTACTTAATGCCCAAATTAACACTGATTGACCAATCAAATTAAAACTCTTTGTTCACCCTGCTGGAGACTGGCAGCTCCTCCTGGCTCCTACCCGGAGCTACTTCTGTTTCAGGAACCATCCCACTTCATGGTAACTGAAACAGGAGGACAGGTGAGCCTCAGGGCCCTCATGAGGTCCTTCTCTGGACCACAGTCTCTTCGCGTTTCAGGGGTAGTGTGAGTGGAGTCAGTCCTGTGTTCACACCCTACTTGCTCTGTGACCTTAAGCAGTGTCTGAACATCTCATTACTCTGGCTTCCTTACTTATAAACGAATAATAATGACCTTTTCCCCTTAAGGCACTTGTGAGGGTGAAATGAATAAGGTTCCTAAAACATACAGCACCATCGTGGTAAACACTCAGGAACTGGTAGTCAGTAAGGTGTTTGCAATGTCGTGTTCACTGGCTTATCTCAAAGAAAAGAACTCACTCCTTCCCTCCATTTATGACCCAAAACACAAGTAATCTCAGGAGAAGGCTTTGGTGTTTTCCAGTCCTAGAGCAGGATACAAGGGGCTGCTTTTGTAGCCAAATGGGCCCTTAGAGATGGGTTCTCTCCTCTTCTGAAGAGCATGGAGAGAGAAATGAGTACAGAAGACCACTTAAATGTCACAGTATTAGGGAAATAGCCTCCATTTTTATGGCGGACTCCACTTGTCCGAATGCCGTGTAGGTCAAGTTATCAGTCACCGATCACCCCTGAAGATGACTCTGGAACGCCTTGTCTCCACCCTGGAGCTCTTTGAACGTTTCCGCATCTCAGGTCTGTGCCATTTCCCCGGCATGGTCCCTCTGGCTTCTGCCTGAATATAGTTCCTCCTCAGTGAAATCAGCCTTCTCTTCCACTTTCCCCAAAGCCCCTTAAAAGGAGAGAGCTACCAAAAACCTCCATTTAGACCCTGTTTCCTGGGGCCCATATGCCACCGGGGTCAATGCTGGCAGCTCAGCTGCCCCTCCTGGTGCATCACCCAGCGGGACTCCGTAGCAGATGTGGGTGTCCTGCAGGAGTCTGGGAACGCCCCCGCTCACACCCAAGGTCAGTTTTCATTATTCGTCTGTGGTCTGCTTCCAGTTGATTCTTGGACCTTTCCAGGGCAGAGTTCAGGCCTGGTTCCTAGCTCCTGAGATTCCTTCAGACAATTAGGTTATTGTACATCTGAATGTTCTCCATCCTTGAGGAAGAATCACCATGCTGGACTCACTGGCTGGAGTTGTAAACATTACCTAAACAGCCTGGCTTAGGTGCAGCAGGATGAGATGGCATTTGTCAGGTGAAGCCCTATTCCATCAAAGATACAGCAAACTCTGCTAGGCAGAGCCTGCCTAGAATTCATCGCTGAGGTGGTGCCTTGCCCTCAACTGACAGTCCACGTTAACCATCTCCTGATGAAGACAAGGGTGACTTATATTTACTTTGCAATAAATAGTATACTGGGTTCTTCTTGAGATTATCATTTGGGTGTCTAGAATTTAAAATTTAACAACTCCCCTTTATGCAGATCCCACAGTTTTGTATTAGAAGATTGTTCTGAAGTCGTCAGATGGAAAAAATAACTCCAGAGAAATCTAGACTATTACTGGGGTACTGAGGAGTAAAGTCTAGCTGCCTGGCGGTGGTCGTAAGTTTTTGTGCTTAGGTTAGTCGGTTACAGGCCTTTAAAAGTCAAGTTGTCTGGTCACGAATCAAACGTTTACAGTCTGCTTCGAGGCAGACCAGGACTGTTCACTCCCAGAAGTGAAATGTCTGCGTTACATAGACTGCAAGATTGGAGTGATAAATCATACTCATTTTTTTTGTAAAGAGATTGTAGGTTCCCATTTTAAAAGCCAAGCTCTTGATTTAGAATGTGTAAGGCAATGCTTCGGGGATTTAGTATCATTCCTTGAATGAACTGGTGCTTTGTGAATTATCTTTTTCTCCTTAAACCATGCGGTAGAAAAAATCCTTTTAACAAAATACCATTCTCATCTCTATTTTCTGACAATAGGGCATCTTACCTAACTTCTGAACCTCTGTTTTCTCATCTTGAAAATAGTGATAATAAGCCCTGCCCTCATGGGATGGCTGTGATTAAATAAGATAACATAGTAGGAGCTTAATAATATTGGTTCCAATCAGTTCTGTTCATACTCCAGAGGTAGGTGCTTCCTTTTCAGACTTAAGAAGTGAGAGAGAAAGAATGACATACGACATGGCTTCACCGAATGTTTAGGAATAAAGAGTGTGGGCATCACTTGACCTGGATTTAAGCCCTAGCCAAGCCACTCACTTAGCTGTGTGACCCCCATGAAGCCTGAGAAAGTTCCACAAGCCATCTGAGCCTCTGCTTCTACACTTGTGAAAGGAGATAATCATTGTGCCTGCCTTAGATCTGCTCATGACACTCAAATCTTTGTTTAAAACTCTCTAATGTCCTCCCACTTCCTTGGGTCAAGACCAGAATACTTACAGGGACCTCTGGGACCCGTACAGTCTCATCCCTGGTGACTTCTCTGCTTTGTCTTGCACCATTGTTCCCCTCACCTCTCTGCTCCATCTTCTGTTCCCCAAAAGGATCACACTCTCACCTGCCAAGGACTTTTTCTTCCTGCAGTCTGCTCCTCCTCTCGCCTCAGCCTCCTAGCCACGCACCACCACCACCATCACACACACACACACACACACACACACACACACGCACGCACGCACACACACACCTGCTTCCAGTTGACTGTTATGCACCCACTAGATCTCAGCTCCGATTTCTCTTCCTTGGTGCAGCCTTTCTTGATAAGCACAACCTGGGTGATGAGATCCTCTGTTACATACTTTCGTGACACCATATTTCTTTTCTTCCAAGTACTTATCTCATCTTGTATCTATTATTTCTTGAGTTACTTGGTTAACTTCTATCTCCCTTGTAAAGCCCAGGGGAATGAGTCTGTATCTGCGAACACTTCTGTCCCTGGAGTGTAGCACAGTTCTTGAAATATGGCAGATGCTTAATAAATATTTCATGAATGAATGGATGAGTATTGTGGAGATTAAATGAATGAACCAATGGCGTGCCTGGCATATACAATTAGTGGGCAAAGAAAGTCCATGATAACATAATGGAAACTATAAAAGAGGAAGCAAACCCAGCTCAGAGGGTTTAGCCAGGACCTGTTTCCTGGAGGAGATGGGCTTTGAGCCCAGGATGAATATGATTTGTCCAGAAGAAACTGTAGAAAAAGAGACCAAAAGTAGCCATAGGCGTATTCACAAAGAACAAGAGTTTAAGACAATTTGGCAGAAGCCCTGCTAAGCCAAATGCAGTTTGGGCATGGAGGAGTGAGCCTTAGAGAGGAGGAACCCAGAGTGCTACCCCCTTATTCTTAGGGCAGTGGTACTCCTCTTAGAATTTCTGTGGTCCCATCACTGGTCTCCAAACACTGTCTAAAGGCAGAAGCTTCACACAGTCAGCTTTGCTACAGTTTCAGGGCAAACTTCCTTCATAAATTCATCTGCTATTACCTCCCCAAATCTCTGGAGCTTTCAGATCATGATAATCTTCCCACCGTCATGGGCAGAGAGCAGGAGAGAACAAGGGCATAGGGCAGAAAGGAGCAGTGTCTTAAGAGTCACACCTGGGGCTGCCTTCCACCTCTGACACATGCTTGCTACATCAGTTTGAGCAAACTGTTTAATCTCTTGCAGCCTCCGTTTTCTCCTTCCTAGGGAGACAGAGTATTTAACGAGATAATGTAAAAAAAAACAGTGAGATTTCATGCCCAGGACAGAGTGAGGTGCACAATATATATATATATATATATATATATATATATATTTTTTTTTTTTTTTTTTTCTGGCTGCGTTGGGTCTTCGTTGCTGCGCACAGGCTTTCTCTAGTTGCAGCGAGTGGGGGCTACTCTTCATTGCAGTGCACGGACTTTTCATTGCAGTGACTTCTCTTGTTGCAGAGCACGGGCTCTAGGCACGTGGGCTTCAGTAGTTGTGGCACGCGGGCTTTCAGTAGTTGTGGCTCACAGGCTTTAGAGCACAGGCTCAGTAGTTGGGGTGCACGGGCTTAGTTGCTCCGTGGCATGGGGGATCCTCCCGGACCAGGGCTCGAACCTGTGTCCCCTGCACTGGCAGGCGGCTTCTTAACCACTGTATCACCAGGGAAGCCCACACAATATATTTTAGATACCTTCTCTTCATAATTTGCATCATTTCACAGTATGTTTTATTTCCTGGTCTTCTGAT